AGCATGGCCCCAGGAACGGGGCTGCAGGGATGGGCTGGGAGGTGGATCCTTGGATGGGCTCAGGGATGGGTTTGGTTTCACAGATGGATCCTTCCCATTCTGCTTGTCTGGGGTTAGGGATGGGCTTGGGTTCAGGGATGGATCCTTCCCATCACGCTTGGCCGGGTTCAGGGATGGGGTTTGGAATCGATCCTCCCCATCCCACTTGGCTGAGTTTGGGGATCAGTTCGGAGATGGATCCTTCCCCATCCTGCTTGGTCAGGTTCAGGGATGGGTTTGGGTTTGGAGATGGATCCTCCCAATCCTGCTTGGTCGGGTTCAGGGATGGGTTTGGGTTCAGAGATGGATCTTTCCCGATCCTTCTTGACCAGGTTCAGGGATGGGTTTGGGTTCAGAGATGGATTCTCCCCATCCTGCTTGGTCGGGTTCAGGGATGGGTTTGGGTTCAGAGATGGATCCTCCCCATCCTGCTTGGTCAGGTTCAGGGATGGGTTTGGGTTCAGAGATGGATCCTCCCCATCCTGCTTGGTCAGGTTCAGGGATGAGTTTGGGTTCAGAGATGGATTCTCCCCATCCTGCTTGGTCAGGTTCAGGGATGGGTTTGGGTGCAGAGATGGATCCCTCTTGGCCGCATCCCTCCGTGCCTCAGTTTCCCCACTTGGGGATTGCTCCCACCTCAAGCTCCCGTGTCCCCCCTGCAGCACCGGCCCCGCAGCCAAAGCTACCGCCCGGTGAGCAGGGCCCAGGAGCCCGGTGCCGCGGCGCTGCCGGAGGTCTGGGAATGGGGCCTGCGCTACAGCCGGCAGCAGCGGGAGCGCTTCCGGAACCCGGTGGGAGCTGCCTTGGGAACCCCCGGCACTGCAGAGCCCCAGCCCAGCGTGAGTCAGGGCTCGGCTCCGGGGGGGCTGCTCCATGGGGAGGGCACCCACGTGCTGCAGGAGACTCCCCCATCCTGCTCTCCTCGTGCACCTGGGGCGCTCTGCATGGAGTCCTACAATGGGTTGGGTTCAAGGGACCTTAAAGCTCATCCAGCTCCAACCCCTGCCATCCAACCCACCCGTGTCCGGCCATCCAACCCCATATCCATCCATCCAACCTCACATCCACCCATCCAACCCCATGTCCATCCATCACGAAACCATGTCCATCCACCCAACCCCATATCCATTCACCCAATCTCACATCCACCCATCCAACCCCACATCCATCCATCCCAAAACCGTGTCCATCCATCCAACCCCGTATCCATTCACCCAATCTCACATCCACCCATCCAACCTCACATCCACCCAACCAACCCCATGTCCATCCATCCCAAAACTGTGCCCATTCACCTAACCCCATGTCCACCCATCCAACCCCATGCCCACCCATCCAACCCCATGTCCATCCACCAGGACCCCATGCCCATCCATCCAACCCCATGCCCATCCATCCAACCCCATGTCCATCCATCCAACCCCATGTCCATCCATCCAACCCCATGCCCACCCATCCAACCCCATGTCCATCCATCCAACCCCATGTCCACGCATCCAACCCCATGTCCATCCATCCAACCCCATGCCCACCCATCCAACCCCATGTCCATCCACCAGGACCCCATGCCCATCCATCCAACCCCATGCCCATCCATCCAACCCCATGTCCATCCATCCAACCCCATCCCCATCCATCCTTCCACTGCAGCAGGTTGCTCCAAGCCCTGCCCACGCTGGCCCTGACCCCCTTCCTGTTGCCATGTGCCCCCCCAGCGTTGCCCCATCCCAGGTTTCGCCCCCATTCCCCCTGGCTTCCCCCTGATCCCTGTTCCCCCTCTGTTCCCAGCCTGCCAGCCCCTGGCCGGGTGCAGGGCCCGGGCCCGTGTTCCTGCTCACCAAGGGCTCGCTCTCAGCCCAGCCCCTGCCCTGGAGGAGCGGCCGCCCCCCCCCGCACCGCTCCCGCTGGGCCCCGAGCCTGGAGAGCCTGGGGGAGCCGGGGGGGGGGCGGCCCCCCCCTGGGCTGCTGCTGCCCTGCGCCGCGGGCCCCTCCGTGCGGCTCTGGGCACGCTGCTACCTGCGAGGGCTGCCCGAGGCTCAGGTACCGTGTACGGGGGACAGGGGCACGGCCCAGCCTCACATCTACCCTCCAACTGCATGTGCACCCATCCAACCCTTACCCACCCATCCATCCATCCAACCCTTATCCATCCATCCAACCGTTATCCATCCATCCAACCATTATCCATCCATCCATCCACCTATCCAACCCTTATCCATCCATCCAACCGTTATCCATCCATCCAACCATTATCCATCCATCCATCCACCTATCCAACCCTTATCCATCCATCCAACCGTTATCCATCCATCCAACCATTATCCATCCATCCATCCACCTATCCAACCCTTATCCATCCATCCAACCGTTATCCATCCATCCAACCATTATCCATCCATCCATCCAACCCTTATCCATCCATCCAACCCTGTATCCATCCACCCATCCATCCATCTACCCATCCAACACTTATCCATCCACCCATCCAACCCTGTATCCACCCATCCATCCAACCCTTACCCACCCATCCAACCATTATCCATCCATCCAAACCTGTATCCATCCACCCATCCATCCATCTATCTACCCATCCAACACTTATCCATCCACCCATCCAACCCTGTATCCACCCATCCATCCAACCCTTACCCACCCATCCAACCCTTATCCATCCATCCATCCAACCCTTATAGACTCATCCAACCGTTATCCATCCATCCAACCCTTACCCACCCACCCATCCAACCCTTATGACCCATCCTACCCTCATCCACCCATCCATCCAACCGTTATCCATCCACCCATCCAACCCTTATCCATTCATCCAACCATTATCCATCCATCCATACATCCAACCCTTTATCCATCCATCCATTATCCATCCATCCATCTATCCATCCATCCATCCAACCCTTATCTATCCATCCAACCGTTATCCATCCATCCATCCAACCCTTATCCATCCATCCAACCCTTATCCATTCATCCAACCCTTACCCATCTATCCAACCCTTATAAATCCATCCAACCCTTAGCCATTCATCAAACCCTTATCCACCCATCCAACCCCATATCCATCTATCCAACCCTCATCCATCCATCCAACTCAGTATCCATCCATCCAACCCTTTATCCATCCATCCTACCCTTATCTATTCGTCCAAGCCTGTATTTGTCCGTCCATCCATCCATCCATCCAACCCTTATCCATCCATCCAACCCTTATCCGTTCATCCAACCCTTATCCCTCCATCCATCCATCCCTTATCCACCCATCCAACCCTGTATCCATCCATCTATCCCTTATCCACCCATTCAACCCTTATCTATCCATCCATCCATCCCTTATCCACCCATTCAACCCTTATCCATCCATCCATCCATCCCTTATCCACCCATTCAACCCTTATCCACCCATTCAACCCTTATCCATTCATCCAATTCTTATCCACCCATCCAATTCTTATCCACCCATCCAACCCTGTATCCATCCATCCAACCCTTACCCATCCATCCAACCCTTATCCATCCACCCATCCAACCCCATATCCATCCATCCAACCCTTATCCATTCATTCATCCAACCCTTATCCACCCATCCAACCCCATATCCATCCATCTATCCAACCCTTATCCATCCATGCAACCCTGTGTCTATCCATCCAACCCTGTATCCATCCATCCAACCCTTATCTACCTCTCCAAACCTTATCTATTCATCCAACCCTGTATCCATCCATCCATCCATTCAACTCTTATCCATCCATCCAACTCTGTATCCATGTATCCATCCATCCATCCATCCCAATGTCCATCCATCCCACCTCATGTCCATCCACCCAACCCCATATCCATCCACCCAACCCCATGTCAATCCATCCTACCCCATATCCATCCATCCATCCCTGCATCCATCCATCCCACCCCATATCCATCCATCCACCCAACCCCATGTCCATCCATCCCTGCATCCATCCATCCCACCCCATATCCATCCATCCCACTCACCCCCCATGTGCCTCCCTGTCTCCCGCAGCACGGGCGCTTCGCTCCGTCTCCGGCCGGGCTGGCGGAGGAGCTGCTGCTGCTGCAGGCCCGGCTCAGCGCCCTCACTGCCTGAGGACACGGACCCGGGATGGGACCGGGGAATGGGCCCCCGCCATGGGGAGGAGCCCGGGATGGGACCCGGGAATGGGCCCCCGCCATGGGGAGGAGCCCGGGATGGGACCGGGGAATGGGCCCCCGCCATGGGGAGGAGCCAGGGATGGGACCCGGGAATGGGCCCCCGCCATGGGGAGGAGCCCGGGATGGGACCTGGGAATGGGCCCCTGCTATGGGGAGGAGCCCGGGATGGGATCCCCCAGCACCCGCTGGATCCTTGCCTCCCATTAAACTCCTGCTACCTCCGTGGAGCTTTGGCTGCTCGGGGCTGGATGCGCCCGTCCGGAGCGTGGGGGGGGCTGCGAGGGGGTGCAGGAGGGGACCCCGGCACTGGGGTTCCCCTGGTACTGGGATCCTTTGGCACTGGGATCTCCCGGCATTGGGATTCCCTGGGAATTGGCACCCCCCAGCACTGGGATCTCTCTGGACCAGGATCCTTCAGCATTGGGGTTCCCCTGGTATTGGGATCCTTCAGCACTGGGATACCCCAGCACCGGGATCCCTCAACACCGGGATCCCTCAGCACCGGGATACCCCAGCACCGGGATCCCTCAGCACCGGGATCCCGGGCACTGAGACCCCTGCCTCCGAGGGCGCCATCGCCGCTGCTCACGACAGGCGCTATCGCGACAGAGCCGCGCGCCCCCGCCCACACCCAGCATGGCCGCCGCGCCTCCCCCGCGCGCTGCCGTGACGTCACCTCCCGTCCGCGGGAGGTGCAGGGGAAGGGGAGGGGCGGGGCTGGCGCCCGCGGTGACGTCACCGCGTGCTGCGCCGTTGCGTGACGGCGACGGCACCGCGAGGGCGGGAGCGGGAAGGGGGTAAAGATGGCGGCGGGGCCGATCTCGGAGCGCAACCAGGGTGAGCGCAGGGGTGGGGGAGGGAGAGCGAGGGGCCGGGATGGGGCCGTGAGGGACCGGGGGGGTCTGTGAGGGACAGGGGATGGGGTCTATGGGGACCGGGGTTGGGGGTCTGTGAGGGACCGGGGATGGGGTCTATGGGGACCGGGGTTGGGGGTCTGTGAGGGACCGGGGATGGGGATCTATGAGGGGCCGGAGATGGGGATCTATGAGGGGCGGGGGGGTCTATGAGGGATCGGCGATGGGGATCTGTGAGGGGCCGGAGATGGGGGTCTATGAGGGGCGGGCATGGGGTTCTATGAGGGACAGGGCATGGGGTTCTATGAGGGACCGGGGATGGGGGTCTATGAGGGGCCGGGGGGGGTCTATGAGGGGCAGCGGGGGTGTCTGTGAGGAGCCTCTGTGCTGCCTGTGCACACCCAGAGCCTTGGTCTGGCCAGGCCCGATACGTGCGGTGGTGGGATCTGGGATGGAGGGGTCCGGGTTTCCTTAGGGAGAAGGGGGCACAGCGGGGGATGAGGCGGGGGGGGGAGGCCTCTGCCTTTGCCTCGGGTGCTGCTGCTCACTCAGGTTTGCTTCCCCCCGTGCAGACGCCACGGTGTACGTGGGGGGGCTGGACGAGAAGGTGAGCGAGCCGCTGCTCTGGGAGCTCTTCCTCCAGGCAGGCCCCGTGGTCAACACCCACATGCCCAAAGACCGGGTGACGGGGCAGCACCAAGGTGAGAGCCCCGGGAGCACTGCGGGGGGAGGAGGGCCCCGGGGGAGGGAGGGGAAGGACCCCATGGGGGGGGGATTATCTCCCTTTAAGAGGGGGGTTTGGGGCTCCTCACCCCTCACTCAAGCAGGTCTCAAGCTCTGCCTTGGGGCCCATTGCAGGCTATGGCTTCGTGGAATTCCTCAGCGAGGAGGACGCGGATTATGCCATTAAGATCATGAACATGATCAAGCTGTACGGGAAGCCCATCCGAGTGAACAAAGCCTCAGCCCACAACAAAAACCTGGACGTGGGGGCCAACATCTTCATCGGCAACCTGGACCCTGAGATCGACGAGAAGCTGCTCTACGACACCTTCAGCGCCTTCGGGGTCATCCTGCAGACACCCAAGATCATGCGAGACCCCGACACGGGCAACTCCAAGGGTTACGCCTTCATCAACTTTGCCAGCTTTGATGCCTCGGATGCTGCCATCGAGGCCATGAACGGACAGTACCTCTGCAACAGGCCCATCACCGTGTCCTACGCCTTCAAGAAGGATTCCAAGGGCGAGCGGCACGGCTCGGCCGCCGAGCGCCTGCTGGCAGCGCAGAACCCGCTCTCGCAGGCGGATCGGCCCCATCAGCTCTTTGCTGATGCTCCTCCTCCTCCCTCCGTCCCCACCCCTGTTGTCACCACGCTGGGACCCGGCGTCACCCCCCCAGGTGGGTAAATGGGGGGTAGAATGGGTTGGGCTGGAGAGGAGCTTAAGCTCATCCAGCTCCAACCCCTGCCATGGGCAGGGACCCCTTCCACTGGAGCAGGATGCTCCAAGCCCCTGTGTCCAACCTGGCCTTGAGCACTGCCAGGGATGGGGCAGCCACAGCTTCTCCATTCAGCGCATTCCAGTGTCCCAGCACCCTCACTTCTTCCTTATCTCCAACCTAAATCCCCCTGTTCCAGTCTGAACCCATCACCCCTTGTCCTGTTGCTCCAGTCCCTGATGAAGGCCCCTCTCCAGCATCCTTGCAGCCCCCTTCAGACACTGGAAGCTGCTCTGAGCTCTCCACAGCTTCTCTTTTCCAGGCTGAGCAGCCCCAGCTCTGTTGTTGTTGCCTCATGTGGAGCTGCTGCTGGTGAATTATTATCACCTTTTTGGGTTGCTTTTTCCACCTCACCACATTCCCGCTGTTTCTCTTCCCAGGTCTCCCGCCACCAGGATCATTCCCACCTCCGGTGCCTCCCCCTGGAGCGATGCCTCCCGGGATGCCTCCTGCCATGCCACCCCCTCCCATGCCACCCGGCGCTGGTGCCCCCGGGCCCCCCTCTGGGGCTGCACCCACCGCGGGGCACCCACCTCACCCGCACCCCTTCCCTCCGGGTGGATTGCACCATCCAGGTAAGCCTGAGCACCTTTACGTGGATGAACTCTTCCCAGTATCCAACCTAAACCTCCCCTGGTTCAGCTTGAGGCCATCTCCTCTTGTGCCTTCCCCTGGGAGCAGAGCCCAGCACCCTCCTGGCTCCATCCTCCTGGCAGGCAGTTGTAGGGAGCGATCAGGTCCCCCCGAGCCTTCTTTTCTCCATCTAAACCCCCGCGCCATCCCCAGTTCTTGGGAGTGGGATAAGTTCTCCTCCCAGTCCCCTTCTCCTCCTTTTGCTTCCCTGAGTTTCCCCTTGTGTAAAATGGGGATGTTTTTAGGGCTCCCAACTCCACATCCTCCCCCAGGGTGATGCTCTCTGCAGCCTGGTGAAGGAACAGGGAGAGGCTGCATAGAAGCGAGTGCTTCACCCCCCTGGTGCTGCGCCTGCGTTCTGGAGTCCTCTGCTGGGTGTTCTAAACTGTGTTAGAAAATAGCCTGGAGCAGGGGCCCAGCAGGATTTGGGAAGCTCTTTGGTGATGTAGGAAGTTGTGCCTTGCTGGGAAGCATCCACTTGGGTCAAGACAGGAGTTTCCTTGCGCTGTGAAGGTGCAGGATGCAGGAGGGCATGGTCTGGTGCAGGTGTTGGAGGTCTTGGGTGCTGTTCTGGTCCTTCAAAACCCCAGAAATCCCGAATCCTTGGCCTGCGAACCCCAACCCCTTTGTTAACATCCTGGACAAAGCTCCAGATCTTCCTCATTTTCCTCTGGTGTGAATTAATTCCAGTAAGTGGGAACTTTCTCCTCGCAGTCTGCAGCTTCGCAGGCTAATTCCAGACATGAGCACAGAATGTTTCTTGGGTTTCCTGCCATTTTTAGCCCTGTATTCCCGGGGAGTGAGCAGTGTGGATGTGGAGGCTCTAGGTTTAGATGCAAATGGAATTTGCCGTTTAATTTGGGGTTTCTTTGCATCAATCCTGCCTGCTCTGAACCCAGCCCTGCACCGGGCCCTTCTCCCCCCGTGGCTGATTAGGGGTCTTTGTGTACTGGTGGCTCTGGCTTTGTGAGGGACCAGATGGCTGCTGCTGATTCCCGATTACAAAAGGGATTTCCAGGCTTTAGAGGAGCCAATTACACCCGGCAGAGGGAAGCCTGAGGGAGCATTTGCACAGCCAGGCCTTGCGGAGCCACGATGAGCATCTGAAGAGAGGGGAAGTGGTGGTTGCTTGGGTTTGAGAGGGAGAAGAGGAATAGGGGAAAAGTAGGTTTGGGGGAGCCTGGTTTCTGTGCTCGGAGCAGAGCAAGCTTCAAGTGCAGGGAGCCTGCCCCAAATCCCTGTGGGAAGCGATTCCTTACTGAGCCCCATCCCAGGGCCACGCCACATTGGGCATCACCACACACAATGACATCCAAGTGGCATTTACTGGGTCTGTTGCTTTCTGTGGGGGAGCTTTGCATTTCCTCCTCTTTAACCTCCTTTTCCATGGAATGATTTGGGTTGGAAGGGACCTTAAAGCTCATCCAGCTCCATCCTCTGCCATTGGCAGGGACACCTTCCATAGAGCAGCTTGCTCCAAGCCCCTGTGTCCAACCTGGCCTTGAGCACTGCCAGGGATGGGGCAGCCACAGCTTCTCCCTTTAACCCATTCCAGTGTCCTAGCACCCACATGGTGAAGAACTTCCTAAGATCTCCTCTAACTCTTCCCTCTTCTAGTTGTAAGCTGTTTCTCCTCATCCCATCCCTCCATCCCTTGTACAAAGCCCCTCTCCAGCCTTCTCGTAGCCCGTTTAGGCACTGGGAGCTCCTCTAAGCTTCTGCCCTTGCTGTGGGCATCCTTTAATGTGTTGTTCCCATAGGAATCCCTCCCATGCAAGTGCACCATGGACCGCCAGGGATGGCCCAGCATCACCCAGGACCCCCAGGCTCTGGAGGCCAGCCCCCCCCACGGCCCCCGCCTGGCATGCCGCACCCTGGGCCCCCACCCATGGGTATGCCGCCCCGAGGACCTCATTTTGGGTCTCCCATGGGTAAGTGGGTGCCTGCAGGAGGATGGGGGGTGTGTGCTTTGCTATGGGTGGGATCAGTGCTTGGTGCCCATTGTTCCGAGCTCAAGGAGGGTGGATGGGAAGGAGGCGATGCCGGAGGTGTCCTGGAGCAAGACCTGCTAAGCCAGGGTGTCCCAGGGCATTCCCTGTGCCCACTGTGATGTGGGGATCTGCACTATGGTGATGTCCCCCCATCTCACACTGGGATAGCAGCAGGGGAGGTTCCTGAGGCCTGTGGGATCTTCAGGGAGACTCTGCCAGGATCTGCTGGTAGAGGGGGAATGTTGGCCCGAACCGTGGGCACCCCTGGCTGGGGTTTGGGGGGGGGATTGGCTGTTCCATGTGTCCCCACGGTGCTAAACTCCTCTGCTCTGTCCCCACAGGTCACCCAGGCCCCATGCCCCACCACGGCATGCGTGGGCCTCCTCCACTGATGCCTCCCCACGGCTACAACGGGCCCCCTCGCCCACCACCCTACGGCTACCAGAGGGTCCCCCTTCCCCCCCGGCCTGCACAGAGGCCCCCCGGGGTGCCCCCCCGGGGGCCCTTGAGGGGTCCCCTGCCCTGAGCGTGGCTGTGACGAGGCCCCCTCCCTGCTGGGGACCCTCCTCAATGTGTCCTCAAGCTTTCATTCCTCCCTGTGCTAACACATCCCCATCCAGGAGGGGCAGGGCCCCCCTCCCCGGTCCCACCTCCCACCTCTGCCTTTCCCTCTCTGCATCTTGTTCCCCGTGGGGTTTTGTAGTGTTCATTTTCCCTCCTTTCCCACTTCTCCCAGCCCTGAAGCTGCTTCACGGTGCTTTGAGGAGGATTTGGGGTTTTTTCTATGTAAAGCAGCGAGCTCCCCTTTACAAATAAAGTGTTCTCTGAAGCAGGGGCTCTGCGAGCAGGGGGCTCTGCCTGTCTGGCACTGGGGAGCTGCTGACTCAGGAGCAGCCACGTGTAGTAAGTGATGGCCAGAGAAACCCAGTGCCTGTGCTGGGAAATGGGGAGGGAAGTGGGATTGCTCCGTCGCTCCTGCTCCCATTGCCTTTGGCACATGAGGAGCCACTGCAGGATCTCGAGATGAACTGGAAGGGCTCTGCACTGACCTCAGCTGCTCTGCTGTGGAATCCCAGAGTGGTTTGGGTTGGAATTTACCTTAAAGCTCATCCAGTTCCACGGGCAGGGACACCTTCCACTGAAGCAGCTTGCTCCAAGCCCCATCCAGCCTGGCCTTGAGCACTGCCAGGGATGGGGCAGCTTCTCTGTTCAACCCCTTCTGGTGTCCCAGCACCTTCACAAGGAAGAGCTTCTGCCCAAGAGCTTATCTTTGTCAGCTTAAGGCCATTCCAAGCATTAATCCTTGTTTTCCCTGTTGAAGAGGGGAATTCCCGTGGTCCAGACAGGCTGGGAGGAAGTGAGGACATCTGTAACCCTCTCACTTGTTTCCAGTCAGGAAATCGGGAAGAGTCCAGCTTGGCCTAGGATGATGTATGCATGAGGGGATGGAGGCTGTGTGCAGCTTGCGATTGCCACGATTGCCCTGATGCTCCTGGTTTTATCCCCGTGGCAAATCCAACACACTTGGAGGCCCTTGGGACAGGCAGGAGCCATTCCCTGTCCCTGCCACCATGCATTTTGCTCCAGTGATGCCCATTAAAGCCTCAGGGCTGAGCCTGAGCTCGGACACAGCAGGGAGGGGGGACCCTGGTGACAATGTGGCACATGAGTCACAGCCTGACAGGCCCGGGGGGCCGCGGGGAAGCTGCGCTCACCAGTGCAGCCCAGGCCAATGCGGCTCCGTGCTGGGGCGCGTGATGAGCCCCGGATGCAGCAGCAGGGATGCAGCATCAGCCTCTCCTGTGTCCCCCCTTGTGGGGGTGCTCCCAACAGGAGCTCTGTTCCTCAGCTTCCAGTCCCTGTGCTGGTGCTGCTGGTGTGGGCTGGTCCCCGGCCCCATCTGCATGGTCTGAGAGCTGAGTTCCTGCTGTCCCAGGCTGGGTTTGGCCTCCAGGACACTGCCCCTCGGCCTCTCCTTAAGGGATGCACACCCCGGGCACAGTGAAACCAGTACCCGGATCACACAGCTCTGGGGCTGTAACGTCCTGGAGGCTGGGACTGCCTCAACTCCTTGCATGTGGGAGGCAAGAGCGGGAGGCTCAGGATCCTGATTTCCCAGCAGCAGCAGGAGATACAGGGTTAAACTGGGGTTGGTTTGGGCCACAGAATCGCCATGGAATGGTTTATGGGAAGGAAGCTTAAAGCTCATCCGGACCCACGGGCAGGGACTCCTTCCACTGGAGCAGGGTGCTCCAAGCCCCATGAGCAGTGCCAGGGATGGGGCAGCCAAAGCTGCTCCCTTCAACCCATCCCAGTGTCTCAGCACCCTCACAGGGAAGAGCTTCTGCCTCAGAGCTCAGCTCAGTCTCCCCTCGGGCAGGTTCAAGCCATTCCCCTTGCCCTGTCCCTGCATCCCTTGTCCCAAGCCCCTCTCCAGGTTGCTGTCCCCCATCCTTCCCTGCAGTAACCACGCTCCTCCTCACCCCCTCTCAACCCCCTCCGGCGCTGGAGGCGTTTGTGCCCTGTCCCTGCGGAGCCCCGGCTCTGGCAGTGAGGATTTGATCCCGATCCATCCGAATCCAGCCCCGAGGAGCCCGTGACTCAGATATTCCAGCCTGCGCTGCGGTCGCCATAGGAGGGGGGCGAGCGATCCCGAATCCCACGTGAATCCCTGCGGAGGGGAACTGGGATTGGGGCAGCTCCTCGTAGCCCCCCCTCCATTAGCCACAGTTACCTGTCACCACTTGGACCCCGCGGCTCCAACACGGGAACCCCATTCCCAAGGGAGCTCCCTGGGAGCGTGGGCACCCTGGGGGAGGCTTCTCCTTCCCATTGTCTCCAGCCGTGAGCCGAGGCGAGGGGGGACCCCCCCATCCTGCCGCTGTCCCCCCCTCCCCGGCGCAGTGCTGCAGCACAGCCCTCCCCACCGCCTCCCTCCCTTCCCTGGGCTCTTGCAATGGACTCTCCCAGCGCTCGGAGGCTGCGGCGTTAACACGGGACCCGGGAGCTGTTTCCTTGCTGGGTCCCTCTTGGAGCAGCTTTTCCTTCCTCTGTCAGAGCATCCTTCCTTTGCCGGAGCATCCTTCCTCCGTCACAGCATCCTTCCTCCTCCTGGAGCATCCTTTCTTGCCGCACAGGAGGCAGCCTCCGGAAGAAGGGCTGGAGCGGAGACAGGTAAGGAGAGAAAGGGATTCCTTTTATCAGGCAGATCCCCCTCCTCTTCCCACTGCTTTCCATTAGCATCCTGGGAGCCGGCATCTGATGGATCAGGGATTCAGCTTCTCCTTCCCACTTGCTGTGGCCATTTTGTCCTGGAAAACCTTGCCTCCAGCCTTGCTCATGTCTTTCTCCATGCGTGTTGAGCAGCCTCTCCTTAGCCCTTCCCGTGCCGCCGGAGGGCCGGGAATCGCTGCCGATGGGGACAGGGGCTTCGGCGCAGGGATGGGTGTTTAAGGTGGTGGCTTTGGGGAGTCAGTCCTGGGGGTGGTGGGAGATGACCTTGGACATGGGTGATTTAAAACTCTTCTCCCTTGTCGCCATGTTCTGGGAAAGGCTGAGGAGGGGAGGATGCGGAGCCCAGCGTGAGACCCCCCCTCCCGGGGAGGTTCTGTGCATCCATCGGATGCTCCGCATGGATGCGTGGTCCAGAGCCCCATAACCTTGGCTCAGGCCGGTGGGGACTGTTCCAGCTCTGCCCATCACGGGGCCCAGCTGTGACCTTGCTCCCTGGTCCATCCTCTTCCTCAGTGGGTATCCGGCCTCTCTCCGCTTCCCTCTTCCTTTTGCCGGCTCCTTACACATCCCAATCCATAGACCAGCATCGGGAAGCACCGCAGGGACCTGCAGATGGCAAGGAGCAAAATGACCTTGGCCATCAATCAGCTCCTTCCAGGGGCCTTGGGGGTCAATGGGTTGAAGCCAAGGGGGGGATCCGGGGGGGACTCCCTGGGATGTGGACAGGGAAAGGGCTGCTCCCGGCCAGCGGAGGGGAGAGGGCAGGGGGCTATGGCTGGATTGATGCTGCTCCGGAGCACGTGCAGGGCTCCACTGGGGAGCTGGGGCCGTGCCGTGCCGCAGCACCGGCCCCGGGTGCGCAGAGCCGCTGGGGGCTCCCATCCGGGCTAATTATAGCCATGGATTCGCCTGGCTCGGGGAGGGAAGGACGCGCGGCGCCGGCTGCGTCCCTGCCCTATGGCTCAGCCTCTGCTGCGCCCCACAGCTGAGGGTCTGTGGGACCGGAGCACTGGGATGCTCAGGGGATGCTCTGCCTGCCCTTGGCCTTGGAGGGCTGGGAATGGGGCTCAGGGCACCAGGACAAAGCCTCTGAGGTGTATACAGATGCCCTTTCCCCCCCCAGAGGTCCTCAGGGTGCCCCCAGCTCTGCCCTGGGGTGCCTGGTTCAGCTCCCACCAAACACAAGCCACAGCCAGATCCCTCCTGGAAGCCTCCCCATGACACCCGCAGGGGGATCCCTGGCATGGGTCTGAGCTTGGGGGTCACACAGGGCTCCCCAAAGGGGGCTCGTGGAAGCTGTCCCTGCTGTGGCAGGGGACTGGAGCTGGAGGAGCTTTGAGGTCCTTTCCAACCCAAACCATTCCCTGGTTCTGTGAACAAGCGCCGTAGCTTGTGCTCAGCCACGCTGTTTGACACCAGAGAATCCACCTTGGTCAATGGGTGCCTAAGTCCTGCTGAAGGCGAGCACCCTCCTGAGAGCTTTGATTCTCCAAGCAAGGGGAGAGGGCACGGAGATGGTGTCCCCAGCCCCATCTCCTGCCATTCCCAAATCCTCCTATTCCCACCCCACATGAGGGGTCCTGGTGCGGAGCAAACCCGGGGCTGAGGTGGGATGCGGGACCATTCCCACCCTCTCCCATCCCCTGCTTGTGTCCGGGCTCCCCAGGTCAGCCGGTACCACGCGGATGGGTAGCGCCGTCCCCCGTCTCCCCGCATCCCACCGCGGTCCCCGGGCGTGAGGACACAGACACAGATCCCCCCCCACCCTTCCTATTCCCCATCGCATCCCGGTGTCCCGGCTCATCCCAGCACCATGGATGAGAGCTTCCGGGACCGGACGGCTTTCATCCGGGGCGCCAAGGACATCGCCAAGGAGGTGAAGAAGCACGCGGCCAAGAAGGTGAGCAGGGGCATGGACCGCGTGCAGGACGAGTACACCAAGCGCTCCTACTCGCGCTTCGAGGAGGAGGAGGACGATGAGGACTACGCGCCGCAGGACGGCTACTACCGGGGGGGCGAGGGCGGCAACGACGAGGAGGGAGCCTCCAGCGACGCCACCGAGGGGCACGATGAGGAGGACGAGATCTACGAGGGCGAGTACCAGGGCATCCCCCGGCGCCACTCGGGGCAGGGCGAGCGCCTGGGCACGGATGCGGGCGCAGCGGCGCTGGCGGACAGCGAGGGGCAGCGGCGCAAGGACCGGGAGGAGCTGGCCCAGCAGTACGAGCTCATCCTGCAGGAGTGCGGCCACGGCCGCTTCCAGTGGAGCCTCTACTTCGTGCTGGGGCTGGCGCTCATGGCCGATGGGGTGGAGGTGTTCGTGGTGGGCTTCGTCCTGCCCAGCGCCGAGAAGGATATGTGCCTGTCCGACTCCAACAAGGGCATGCTGGGTGAGGGGCTGGGGGACAGGGGTATGGGGGGACAGGGGATACAGAGGGGTACATGGAATATAGTGGTGCATATGGGATACAGAGGGGTACATGGGATATGGGGGGACACATGGGATATAGAGGGGTACATGGGATATGGGGGGACACATGGGATATAGAGGGGTAGATGGGATATGGGGAGACATGGGATACAGAGGGGGACATGGGATATGGGGGAACATGGGGTATAGAGGGGGACATGGAATATAGTGGTGCATATGGGATATAGAGGGGGACATGGAATATAGTGGTGCATATGGGATACAGAGGGGTACATGGGATAGGGGGGACATGGGGTATAGAGGGGTACATGGGATATGGGGGGACATGGGATATAGAGGGGGACATGGGATATAGAGGGGGACATGGGATATGGGGGAACATGGGGTATAGAGGGGGACATGGAATATAGTGGTGCATATGGGATACAGAGGGGTACATGGGATATGGGGGGACACATGGGATATAGAGGGGTAGATGGGATATGGGGGGACATGGGATATAGAGGGGCATATGGGGTATAGAGGGGTACATGGGATATGGGGGGACACATGGGATATAGAGGTGTACATGGGATATAGAGGGGCACATGGGACATAGAGGAGTACATGGGATATAGAGGAGTACATGGGATATAGAGGAGCACATGGGATATGGAGGGGCACATGGGATATAGAGGAGTACATGGGATATAGAGGGACAAATGGGACATAGAGGAGTACATGGGATATAGAGGAGTACATGGGATAGAGAGGGGCACGTGGGATACAGAGGAGTACATGGGATATTGAGGGGCACATGGGATATAGAGGAGTACATGGAACATGGGGGACACAGGAGAGACAGGGGGACACGGGGGAGGACATGGGGGGCACATGGGGTGCTGGGCGGTGGGTCCATGTGGGGTCAGAGCGGCACAGGGGGAGGATGGGGGCACAGGGGGGATGCAGGGAACACACTGGGGGGGGGGGTCACGTTCCCCCATCTCCGCGGTGCCGCCTCACCCCACAGCCACTGCAGAGCAGAGGGGACCACCCAGGTTCCCCCCCCGGGTGCCTGGGTCCCCGTGCCCCCCCCCAGCGCTGATGTCTCTGTGTGTGTCTGCCCCCAGGGCTCATCGTGTACCTGGGCATGATGGTGGGCGCGTTCCTGTGGGGCGGCCTCGCGGACCGCCTGGGCCGGCGGCAGTGCCTCCTCATCTCCCTCTCCGTCAACAGCGTCTTCGCCTTCTTCTCCTCCTTCGTCCAGGGCTACGGCACCTTCCTCTTCTGCCGCCTCCTCTCGGGCATGGGGTAAGGGGGATGCACCCGACCCCGTCGCCGTTGACTCCCCCTTTGCTGGGGTGCAGGGTGACCTGTGCTGTGCTCCCCCCTTCCCCAGCATCGGGGGCTCCATCCCCATCGTCTTCTCCTACTTCTCGGAGTTCCTGGCGCAGGAGAAGCGCGGGGAGCACCTGAGCTGGCTCTGCATGTTCTGGATGATCGGGGGCATCTACGCCTCTGCCATGGCTTGGGCCATCATCCCCCACTATGGTGAGGACGCCCCCCAGCACCAGCCCGTGTCCCCCATTGTGGTGGGGCTCGGCACCGTCACAGCGTCCTGTCCCGTTCCCACAGGATGGAGCTTCCAGATGGGCTCAGCCTATCAGTTCCACAGCTGGAGGGTCTTCGTCCTGGTCTGCGCCTTCCCCTCCGTGTTCGCCATCGGGGCGCTCACCACCATGCCCGAGAGCCCCCGCTTCTTCCTGGAGGTGGGACCCAAGCAGGGACCCCTGAGTGGGTGATGGAGATGAAGGGACTGGAACAGGGACCCCTTAAGTGGGTGATGGAGATGAAGGCACCCATGCAGGAACCCCTTAAGTGGGTGATGGAGATGAAGGGACCCATGCAGGGACCCCTTAAGTGGGTGATGGAGATGAAGGGACCCAAACAGGGACCCCTTAAATGGGTGATGGAGATGAAGGGACCCATGCAGGGACGCCTTATGTGGGTGATGGAGATGAGGGGACCCATGCAGGGACCCCTTAAGTGGGTGATGGAGATGAAGGGACCCAAACAGGGACCCCTTAAGTGGGTGATGGAGATGAAGGGACCAGAACAGGGACCCCTTAAGTGGGTGATGGAGATGAAGGGACCAGAACAGGGACCCCTTAAGTGGGTGATGGAGATGAAGGGACCAGAACAGGGACCCCTTAAGTGGGTGATGGAGATGAAGGGACCAGAACAGGGACCCCTTAAGTGGGTGATGGAGATGAAGGGACCAGAACAGGGACCCCTTAAGTGGGTGATGGAGATGAAGGGACCAGAACAGGGACCCCTTAAGTGGGTGATGGAGATGAAGGGACCAGAACAGGGACCCCTTAAGTGGGTGATGGAGATGAAGGGACCAGAACAGGGACCCCTTAAGTGGGTGATGGAGATGAAGGGACCAGAACAGGCACCCCTTAAGTGGGTGATGGAGAGGAAGGAACCCACACAGGGATTCCCAGGTGGGTGATGGGGATGGGAGGAGCTGGTCAGAGACCCCCAAGTGGGTGGTGGGACCCAACCAGGGACCCCAGGTGGGTGATGCAGGAGGGCCCCGGGGTGAGCGCGGCGCTGCCTTGCAGAACGGCAAACACGATGAGGCCTGGATGGTGCTGAAGCAGGTCCATGACACCAACATGCGAGCCAAGGGCCACCCCGAGCGGGTCTTCTCGGTAAGGACCCCCCATTGCTGCAGGAGGGGCTGCGCATTCCCACCTGCAGGGACCACACTGGGGTGCGGGGGAGCTG